CCATCCAAGAAATAGGCACGCACCGGGCATATCGAAGTGGGAGCCCAAAATGATGTCTCGATTACTCAGATCGAGACTCTACAGGTCACTGCTTCAGCCGCTCAGGTCGAGGTTCCACAGTCATGTGCCACCAACATTGAGGGTTCGACCATAACTTATTTCTTGATGAAGTCTCTTCCCCTTGCTAAGACTCGACATTGGGGTTCCGACCAACTAGGTCGAGCAGACTTTGCGGTGAAGGGCTTAGTCAAGGTACTTCTTATCTTTTAGTAATTGAGGTTTTGTTTTAGCTCATTTAACCTATTTACTTTTACATTTAATGTCTGGCGTGGTCCCTATCCTCGACGAGGGAGTCGGTGGGTCTGGTCCTTCGGTCCAGGCCCTTAAAGCAAAAGTCGAGGCCTTAGCGGCAGAGAACAAACGTCTCTCTGTCCTTAAGTTCGACTTGACACAGGAGATATCGAGGAAATATTGGCAACACAAAAATGACCTCAGCGCAAAAAAAAATGAGCTCGAAGCGGAGAGGTTGCGCCTGGAGGAGGTCGAGACTTAGCTAAAAAAATTGACCCTAAATGCTCTCACTAGGGTCTCATAGAAGGTCGGGAATAGTTCTGCACCTCAAAGTTGGGGGTTATTTTCTTGATGCTTAGCGGGAACAAGTTGTTGAGGACTTGTGCCGATCCCATACCTTTCTTAAGAGACTCGTTCCTGTAGCCCAATAGTAAATAGAAAGCGCCTTGAGTCAAGTCGAGGCTCAATCCAAAACTCAAGGCTCCACCGGTGAGTTCGACAATCAAGCTATTGTAGACTAGATTCATGATAATCATGAGGGGTATAAGGGCGACCCCACTCTTCCTTATGATCATTTGTGGTGGTCGAACATGTTGGTAGAGTATCTAACTCGTTGTTTCTTAGAGAAGAATATTGTCGTGCCAGATGTTCCTCCGTTGGTTCAAACTATCTCTCAAGTTATTGTTAGGATATACTATAAAAGTTTGTCTTTCAATTTTTATCAATTACATTTTGATATGGCAATCATGTTTTAGTCAAAGTATTTATGTTTGCAAGTTTGTTTATTTATGCAACCATAATTCCCTTTATTTTACATTGTAGATAGTATGGTTCGATGTGTCGTACAGAAGATCATAATATCAATTTCTTGTGAAATAAAAT